CAACTAAAGCAGACAAATAAGGAATGTCGCCACTACAACATTTTGCATTTACAGCTACGAATTTTTAGCTACAAATATAAAAGTAATAGCCATAAAAATTAGAGTTTCGTGGCTATTCACAAATTGGTGAAATTTCTTAGCTACAAAAATTAAATTGGCAAAGCTAATAATTATTTTTGCTATAGTTAATTTATGTCGTGGCAATAACTGCCTAAATAGCTATAAATTTATTGCTACACTAAAATTTTGTAGCTAATTATTAGTTTATGCCACGCGTTTGAACTATTGTAGCAATAATAATTTTTTAGCCACGACAAATTATGTCAAATAAAATATTGAACATCTTTGCTTCAAGTTATAAAAAGCAAGGCAATAGTGGGGTCAATAGCTACGATGGAATATCATGGCAAAATAATATAGTCACGAATTTATATAGCTAAATTCTAATTTTTTGCTATGCATTTGACATCACTGTAGCTATTGTTATAGTCTAGCCACAATATATTTGTTTGCACATAATTTTATAGCTAAAAGAATAGTCTTGCTTCAATTTTGCATTTGTTATAGTCGGCCAATTTTTCTTCCAAGTATGTCAAATTGTGATACTGTCTACACATCATACTCTTCAGGTTTTCTGCAGAGGATCATATGCATAGGACAAATAATGCCTTTCTCACCACCTTTAGACAAATAATCAGCAGTCACGAACAACATAACATAAGAAAATTCACTGTTGTATATATATTTTTGCTACTGAATACGTTCAATTTGCTTCCTTCAAGAGAATGAGGAAAATAAGTCATTTGAATTGCTATGTGTTTTTTGTGTCTAAAGGTATCTATGTCATGTTCATAACATACGTTAAAATGCTGAAATAAAGACTGTTGTACTTAAAACTCATATATATACTCTCCTTTTTGCGTTGAAGACATCTTTAGTTCCTTTCATTCCATAGTAACAACCATATACAGGCTAGTACAGTTTCCAAATCATTAGATGTACAACTTCTAATGTTCCATAGTTTTTACCTTGGTTTCAAGTTGTACGACAACAGAAATTAGAATAGGGGGAATTTGAAAAAGATACACATGAATAACGAAAGAGAAGGTGTGTTTCTTATTTTTGTACGCTTTGTTTTTGTCTTTTTATTGCAGGTTTTTTTCTCAGTGGTTATTGCACGATGTAAGATTAGATTCTCATGCAGTTTTGTAATAACAAAAATACGAGAAATAAATATCATATATTAAAAATTAAATTCGAACAATGACATGACATGGAGACAATACTATATTCTGAAACACGTTTACATCAATAAGTTTACAAAAAAAACTACAATAGTACAAAAATTTCTACATCAATACAACTTCTACTGCAGCGAACATACTGAAAAGCACAAAAGGACACAATAATTTTGTCTACTCTTAAACATCAAAAGTTCTAAAACCAACAAATAAACACTCTACTTCTTGCTTTTTTTGTGGCTTGCTCGATAACTTCATCGTCATGTATGATTAGGTTTCTTCTCTTTCTAATCTTTCTTAATGAAGTTCTTCTCCTCCTACAGTTAACACCGTCATTGATATGTGGATCTTCTGGAGAGTCTTCAAAATCCTACAAAGAGACATTAGTAGATTCCTGAATAGTTTTCAGAATAAATATTATTTACATATCTATTGAATATGCTAATTTTTTTAGTAGTTGAAAGTTTGCCAAATAAAACATTAAAGAAATTTACCTTTCCTTCAACAAAACGTTTTGTTTCAACGTTATACTCAACTTTCTTTTTCCCCTGCATAAGCAATGAAAATAAAACATATTTTCAGTGTACATATACATCTAGATTACCATTTGAAACAACCTATATCACAATACCTTTTGTTCTTTCCTTGTTGTGTATTGCAATTTCAGATTCTCATCTAGAATGAACAACTTGGATACCGTATAATTTTTAAGCCCCTCGTTGAGATTGTAATTGTTTAATCGTAGCTTGAAAACAAATTCCTTGCCACAAAGAATTTGGATTTGTGGAGGTACATTATTGCTTTCCAATGATAGTCTATTGAACAACTTGTGTGCAGATGTATCAAGGAGCTTCTCCGCAACAATATTAAATAGGACCACAGTAGTCTCTCCAGTTTTGTCTCTTACTTTGACGTGTATTTTGTACCTATGATTATGCAATCAGTTAAAATAAATGACAATATAATCAAACTTACATTATTAGTTGCTTCCTTACTTCACCAAAGGAAACTTCATTCTTTAACGCAAAAGTGACATGTATAGAGACCATTTTAAGGTACAATCTTCTTTGAACAGGAGTTGCATGAAATGTAGTACCAATCAAAATAGTTATATATTTCTGTAATGTTGCCCCTCACAGTCGGACTTCAACAACTCATTAATGTTCATCCTGTTCAGAAACATCTGTTCCTCAATGGAAATGTTATTGACATTAGAGCTCCCGATAGTTTGTACACCAAGAGATATGGCACCAAATTTCTGAATCAAAGTAGTTATGTAATCTATTTCTAGATTTACATATATTTTGTATGCATATGTCGTGGCGAAAGTAACCTCACATGTTAATAGTGAATGCAATTTTAAAACAGACTTTAATATATATTCAAAATATCAGTAATAAATTACATAGCAATGAACAGTTAACGTAAAACAATTACCACGGAATTGTTTAACTATTGTAGAAGTTACTATGACAACGTACGGCCGAGAGTCGTTGTATAGAAATGGTTCGAACTTCTCTCCAAATTCTTCCCACAAAGTTATTTTTGATTTTGCAGAACTATACAGGGAAAAAGATGGAAAAAATTTAATTGAGTATCAATCCATATGATTCATCTAATATGTAATCTTAAGATATATGCATAAACAACTTGGATAACAAATAAATCTGGTTTTAGGAAGTTAACAAACTAAAGGAACTTAAAGTAGGATAAGTGGCTTACTAATCAGTTATAACTTGGATGTCTCTTTTTTTCCACTGGCTTCCAACACTCTCGATGTCATCGATGGCAGATAAACAACCAACCACCTCTACAATATCAAATTGAAAGAAGTAGTCATTTCATAAATTACATTGCTATTGCGGAAAATGTAGCAGGAAACATTGATCGTAATCAGTATACCTGATAGCACGGTGTATAGTTCAGCCTTGAGTCGATCATGTCGGGTTTTATAAGCTGGAATCCGTTTATAGGAATATTAACAATACCTTCTCGTAGTTCTTGGAGTGCAGTTGTCAGGAAGAAAGAAATTTTATAAGTACTTGTCACTGGTCTATATAAACCAGAAGCCTCACTAACTTTGAAGTTCTTAATAACATAGATTGATCCTTCACTCAGCAAATTCTTGTACTTATTTACTAAATTCTTGTTGATTGTAGCATGTATCAAAGTTTCCTGGCAGAGGAAAAATAGTTAGTGTTTTCAAAATTAATTAATAATTACAAATGCATATTAATTAAAAAAAGAATAAGACACATGTATTACCTCTTCATCTATAAGGATCATGTCTGTACTCATTAGTTCTCTGTTTCTCTTGAAATTAATAGAATTCCATATCCGGCAAACTCTAACCCTCACGGTCCAATCATCTCTAATACTATTCAAGTCTGTAAGAAGAGAATACGCCATACTGTATATAACAGTTTAAGGATAGGAAAATAACATATGAGTTTAAGAAGGATAGCAGAAATTGTTTAAGGACAATGGTGTGCGAGGCTTTTATAAAAAGGATTCGGTTAAAAATTGTAAACAATGCCAACGGTTAATTGGAAAGTTACAACCCTTTAGAAAAGCCATTATAACGGGGGCAGGTTTTGCACAGGAGGATGAAGAGGGCGTCATTTGAATAGATTCGGTCCATTTGGAGTCGGATACTCGTGGCAAGAACGTGTTATCGAAGTGATTTAAGCGGTTCGAGGTAAGTGGCTTGCCTAACCTTGTGTTGGGGACTTTCCTTTAAGATGTTTGATATTAACTGATATGTGGGCGTCGTGTACGTGAGATGACGAGTACGTACACGGGCTATTATTGCAAAAATAAATCCCGTTTTTCCCTTTTAAATCATAAACTGTTTTTCCTTATTAAATTGCACTAATACGTTTAATTGTTAAACTTAGACTAGAGAAGCATGCTTACGTACTTTAACTGCCTATTTGACATTCCGTGCGCCATGCTTAGTTAAATCCCTATTTTCCTTGTCTGTGTTCAGTATAAATTGTATAACTCGATGCCATACTTGCCATTTCATCTTGCGTTGCATATTTAAATAGGGACTACAGATGTATTTCGGGAGATCCCCCTGTCTTGCATATTTACTTTGGGACTACAGACATATTTTGGGAGATCCCCCTGTCTTGCATATTTACTTTGGGACTACGGACGTATTCCGGGAGATCCCCCACCACTGCATATTTACTTTGGGACTACGGACGTATTGCGGGAGATCCCCCAGCACTGCATATTTACTTTGGGAATACGGACATATTCCGGGAGATCCCCCATGTACTGCATATTCATTCGGAACTACGGGACGGTATCCCGGGAGATTCCCCATTATGTTACTTTGTTCTAAGCGAGGGCTCCCTTAACTGTTAAATTTTTGAGAATTTCTTTAACCGCGTTACCGTAAATTTTGCTTATATCTTTTACTATTTAATTTATTATATTTACTCCGGTAGGGCCTTAACCTGACCTCGTCACTAATCGACCGAGGTTAGGCTTGGCACTTACTGGGTACCATTGTGGTATACTCATGCCCTTTCCTGCACATGTTTTCATGTGCAGATCCAAGTACGAGCTATCAGCCTTGGGGTTAGTGCGTGTTGCTGATTCTAGGAGACTTCAAGGTACTTCTGCTTGCGTCCGCAGATCTTCGGAGTCCCCTTCTACTCCCTTGTCTAGAGACTTTCTTTATTACCTTCAGACTTTGTATAGAGCTACATAGATTATAGCAGCTTGTGACTTAGTGATATTTCGGGTCTTGAAAAATTATTTTGTATATGCCAAGTGGTACTACTCTTGGTTATTCACGATATGCTGTTTATCTTTAAAAATGCTTTGTTTTCTTTATATTTTTCGTAATATTAGGCTTACCTAGTCGTAAAGACTAGGTTCCATCACGACACCTTACAGAGGGCTAATTTGGGTCGTGACAAATCCGATCCCCATATATAGATTTTTAATAATTCTGTTGCGGTGTGCAATCCTATCCCCCAATATATGGACTTTTTAATAAGTTTGTTGCGGCGTACAATCCGATCCCCCAATATAGACTTTTAATAAGTCTATTGCGGCGTGCAATCCGATCCCCCAATATATATANATAACTTTAAATAACTCATAAATGTAATAAACATTACTCCAATAAATACCACATCCAATGAGAAACTATTAGGCATTAAGGCACATAATAATTATAATTTATTTATGAACAAACAATAGCAATTAACAATAATTGTGAAAATCATGGAGAAATGTGATGACCCAAAAGGTCATCTTATGTTTTAGAACTCGAAGCTGCGCTCTTAAGCCTTAAAATCTCATTTTTACCCTCTTCGATTTGCGTGCATAGTCTGGGCAGATTTTCGGAAAGCTTTTATGTTGAAAACTAATGAAAATAAGTATGTTTGCCTTAAAAGTTGATTTTAGTTGACTTCGGTCAACATTTTTGGTAAACAGGACCAAATCCATATTTTGATGGTCCCGGTGGGTCCGTATCAAATTATGGGACCTGGGCGTATGCTCGGAATCGAATTCGGAGGTCCCTAGCTCAAGTTATGAATTTTTGATGAAAATTAAAAGTCTGAAAATTAATTATTTTTAAGAATTGATTGATGTTTGGCATTGTTAGTACCAGGTCCGTATTTTGGTTCCGGAGCCCGGTACAGGTTCATTATGATATTTAAGACATGTCTGAGAAATTTGGTGAGAAACGGAGTTGATTTGACGTAATTTGGACCTTCGGTTGAGAAAATAGTAATTTTAAAGTGTTCTTAAGAATTTCATTCGATTTGGTGTTAAATTCGGAGTTCTAGGTGTTATTTTGGCGATTTTATCGCACGAGTAGGTCCGTATGATGTTTTTAGACTTGTGTGCATGTTTGGTTTGGAGCCCTGAGGGCTCGGGTGAGTTTCGGATAGGCTATAGGGTAATTTGCACTAAGAAAATCTGAGAGTTTTGCTGTAGCAGCTATTCTGGTATGCCCTTCTTCTCGTCCGCATAGGTAGTGTCGCGAATGCGAAAGGTAAAATGGGGACAGGGGAAATTTCTTCTTTACGAACGCGAAGGATTGGTCGCGAACGCGAAGCGTTTGGGATGGGACCCTTCACGAACACGATCTGTCTCACGCGAACGCGATAGTTTAAATGGACCTGGGGGAGGGGGTCATGTTCTTAAACGCGAATGCGTCCACTGGGTTGCGAACACGAAGGCTTGGGGGAGCTGCCTTACGCGAACGCATAGAAAGACTCGCGAACGAGAAGGCCTTAGGCCGATGTGCATTGCGATCGCGACAGGCCTCTCGCAAATGCGATGAAGGCCTGTTGAGTGACTTAAAAGAGACTCCGAACACGGGTTTAAGCCATTTCTTCAATATTTTTCAAGAACCAAACGGGTAGAGGCGATTTTCAAGAGTCATTTTCCTCCTCAAAGTGTTGGTAAGTGATTCTAAACCATTTTCTTTCAATTACCCATTACATTTCTTGAATTATCAACCTAAAATCTAGAGTTTCATGGTAGAATTAGGGGTTAGGGTAGAAACTAGGAATTTCGAAAATTTGAGGATTTAGACCCCAATTTGAGGTCGGATTCCAAACTAATTACATATTCGGGCTCGGGAGTGAATGGCCAATAATTACATATTGGTCCGAACCTCGGGTTTTGACCAAGCGGGCCCGGGGTCGATTTTTTGACTTTTTGGAGGAAAATTTGAAAAATTTAATTTAAGCAATATAATTGATTCATTTAGCAATATTTGATATTATTGAGTCAATTTTGAATAGATACGAGTAGTTTGGAGGTGAATTCCAAAGAAAAAGCTGTGATTGATAATTAAGTGGCCTTCGGAGCGAGGTAAGTGTTGTGTCTAACCCTGACTTGAGGAAATTAGGAACCTTAGAATATTTGCTAAGTGAAATTCATGCGAGCGGCGTATTGTGAGGTGACGAGTACTTATGCTCCACCAATTTACGTGTATTCCATGTTTCTTCCGTTTTCTTATATTGTCTCTTTCCTATGCCTAATTGCTACATGTTTATACTAGTGTTGTTAAATTGATCGTCAATAGCATGGTTACATATTTTCTGTTTGTAATCGAGTATTCATTTAAAAGTTGAGATTTATATTGTGGAACCAAATGTTGAAGTAAGCTTTGTACTTGTTATTCTATCTCCCTGTTGTGATTTATGCATTGCATTATGGTAAGAAAGAGTGTTAATGCACGAAGGGTGATGTCGTGCCATATTGTGAGTGTTAATGCACGAAGGGTGATGCCGTGCCATATTGTGAGTGTTAATGCACGAAGGGTGATGTCGTGCCATATTGTAAGTGTTAATGCACGAAGGGTGATGTCGTGCCATATTGTGAGTGTTAATGCACGAAGGGTGATGCCGTGCCATATTGTGAGTGTTAATGCACGAAGGGTGATGTCGTGCCNTGTGCCATATTGTGAGTGTTAATACACTAAGGGTGATGCCGTGCCATGATATGAGAGTTAATGCACGAAGGGTGATGTCGTGCCGTTTCTATTAATTTTATGGTGAGATTGAGAGTAAAAGCACGAAGGGTGATGCCGTGCATTTTTCCTTACTGTATGCACTATTCCTGTTGAATCATTGTATATTGACTGCTCTGGTGATCATTCTGTTGTAGTTCTTTATCTTGTATTCCCCTTAGTATGTTCCCTCCCGACATTTCCTGTTTAGTTCTTCATTTCTGTTATTTGCATATACACTGTTAAAATTGTACAGGTTGATTTGTAGATGCCTTGCCTTAGCCTCCCCACTACTTCGTCGAGGTTAGGCTCGACAATTACCAGTACATGAGGTCGGTTGTACTGATACTGCACTCTGCATTTTCTGTGCAGATTTTGATACCGGCTCGGGTTGATCGAGATTTTGCTATTGGTCCGCTGTCTGGAGACTCAAGGTAGATTTGTCAGCGTTCACAGACCTTGAAGTCCCCGTCTATCTTTCCTATTCTACTGTTTCTTTCATTCAAAGAGTTGTATTTCTTTCTGACTATTGCTTGTTGCAAATTCTAGAATGCTCGTGAATTGTGACTCCAGATCCGGGTGATAGTAATTAATACAGTTTTATGATATTCCACACTTATTATATTTCATCTTAGTTAATTATTGTTATTTACTGATTGGAAATAAGGAATTCGTTTAATGATCCTCTAACGTTGGCTTGCCTGGCAAGTAAAATTTTAGGCGCCATCACGGTCCCATCGGTGGGAAATTTCAGGTCGTGACAATTGGTATCAGAGTACTAGGTTACATAGGTCTCACGAGTCACGAGAAAAATTAGTAGAGTCTGTAGGATCGGTACGGAGACATCTATACTTATCTCTCAGAGGCTATGAAGTTTAGGAACAATATCACTTCTTTCATTCCTTATGGTGCATCATTGATTTTTGCTTGAAA